GAACTTCTTCAACCGCACCGTTCACGTTCGTGACCGGAACGGAGTATTAGTTCCATGCACGGTACCTCTTCCTCATCCTTCGATCAGCTGCCACGTGGTATCCGCCGCAAGCATGCGAGCTTCCATCATCAGAGACGACATCCAGGAGATGGGTCGTGTTTTCTCCACGCCCTCCCGCCCCATGACGCTTCATCGACGGACTCACCTTCGGATCCACGCATCACCGAACTTCTCGACGCCTACAGCGACGTGTTCGAAGGCCCGCACGGAGTAGTACCGGATCGACCCTTCCGCTCACGAGATCATCCTCGAGGACGGGGCCGTTCCTCCGCGCGGTTGCATCTACCGAATGAGCGAGGAAGAGTTAAGTGTGCTTCGGGCACAACTCGACGACCTTCTAGAGAAAGGCTGGATTCGGCCTAGCTCATAGCCATACGGTGCTCCTGTTCTCTTTGTCCGGAAGAAGAACAAGGACCAGCGGTTGTGCATCGATTATCGCAAGCTCAACGCGCAGACGATCAGGAACGCCGGCCCTCTCCCACGCATCGACGACCTTCTCGAGCGATTGGGCGGCGCCCAGTTCTTCGCTAAGCTGGATCTCAAGTCAGGGTACCACCAACTCGAGATTCGCGAGGATCGCTACAAGACCACGTTCAAGACACGGTATGGGCATTTTGAATGGATGGTCATGTCGTTTGGCCTTACGAATGCCCCAGACACTTTCCAAGCGGCTATGACAACGGAGTTCCGACACATGCTGGATCGGTTTGTACTTATCTACCTCGACGACATTCTGGTCTACAGCCGGAGTCTGGACGAGCATGTGGAACACCTGCGCACCGATTTGGAGCGGTTACGACAAGCCAAGTACAAAGCAAACCGCGACAAGTGCGAGTTCGCACAGCAGGAGCTGGAGTACTTGGGACACTATGTGACGCCGCAAGGCATCCGTCCGCTCGCGGACAAGATCGAGGCCCTACGAGTATGGCCCGAGCCCACCAACACCACGAACGTTCGTTCATTCATGGGATTGGCGGGCTACTATCAGCGATTCATCACCAGATACTCCAGGATCGCTGCACCTATGACGAGGTTACAGTCGCCAAAGGTACCATTCGTATTCGATGACGACACACGCCGGTCATTCCAAGCACTTAAGACGGCTATGCTCATGGCACCCGTCCTTAGCATCTATGACCCCACCCTGCCGACGCGAGTGACTACGATCGCTTCCGGCTATGGCATTGGGGCAGTCTTGGAACAGCACGACGGCGACGACTGGCACCCTGTGGAGTATTTCAGCCACAAAGTGCCTCCCATCAACTCACTCGATGATTGCAAGGAAGAAGGAGCTGCTCGCATTCGTGATGGCTCTCAAGCGCAGATGACACTTCCTCCTTGGGCGTCGTAGGTTCACATGGGTCACAGACAACAATCCATTGACCTACTATAAGACGCAGGACACGGTGAGCAGCACGATCGGACGATTGATGTACTTCATCGACCAATTTGACTTCACACCGAAACATGTCCCCGACCTCTCCAATCGCGCAGCAGATGCACTCTCGCGAAGACTTGATCTTTGCGCTATGACACATCATGCCTTCGCATTCGACGAGGAGCTTAAGCGACACTTCATCCGGGCATATCAGTCTGATCCGRACTTCGGCACGCTCTATGCACAGCTATCTTCGGATCACCCGCCGGCCAGCCATTACCGCATTGCCGACGGGTACTTGCTCCTCCACTCCAGAGGCAAGGACTTACTATGTGTCCAACGCAACCGTCGTCTTCGGACTCGCCTCCTCGGCGAGTATCATGATTCACGACTCGCCGGCCATTTCGGAGTCAACCGTATTGCACGGCTTCGACAGCGATTCCGATGGCCCGACCTCATTACCGATGTCACTCGGTATTGCGACTCTTGCGAAGTTTGCCGACGCAGCAAGCCCCGCAACCGCAATCCCTACGGCGAGCTACACCCGATGCCTATCCCACGGGAACCCGGTCTCTCCATTGCCATGGACGTCGCCGGTCCGTTTCCTCGCGACCGGCTCGGGCACGACGGCATCCTCACRGTTGTGGACCGATTGAGTAAGTACTCGCGTTTTCTCCCTTGCAAGTACTACTCCACGGCTCCCGAGCTGGCACGCCTCCTGCACACTAATTGGATTTGTGGCCACGGTGTACCAGAAGACATTGTCAGCGACCGGGACACTCGTTTCATGTCGGCGTTTTGGACTGCTCTCAAGCAGGAGTTCGGCACAACAATGAAACCAAGTTCGGTTCGACATCCTCAGACAGACGGGCAGACGGAGCGGGCACATCAAACCGCTCAAATGATGCTTCGTACGCTCATCCGTCCGGACCAGAAAGATTGGGTTGACCGCCTCCCCGACAACGAGTTCGCCTACAACACTTTGGTGCATCTGGCGATCGGCGTGACTCCATTCGAGTTGCACCACGGTGGACGGAAAGGCCGGATCTTCGCCGACCTTCTCCTCCCTCGACCAGCCGACATTGACGCTGCGAACACTTCGGTGCATCCGGCGATTGGCGTGACTCCATTCGAGTTGCACCACGGTGGACGGAAAGGCCGGATCTTCGCCGACCTTCTCCTCCCTCGACCAGCCGACATTGACGCTGCCTTCTCTCCCGCTTCCGTCCGGAAGTACAGGGAATTGTTGACTCAAGCCCGCGCAAATATGCAAAAGGCTCAAGTCCGCATGCAGCAGCAAGCCAACAGGCGTCGCGTACCATGTCCCATCCGCGCCGGTGATCTGGTTTGGGTCTCCGCGGAAGAGTTTGCACTGGAACAGGATGTTTCACGCAAACTGCTTCCCAAGTGGTTTGGACCTTGGTCTGTGACAGCAGCCGCGGGCGATGAGCCCGATGGCCCTTCATTTGTGATCAACATTCCAGACGGTCCATCCGGTTTTCCACGCCTCAAAGCTGGCAACATACATGCCAGCCAAGAGCGACGACTTTCCAGACCGACGATCATAGGACCCTCCTTCTATGGATGGCCATCAGGAAGTTGACCGCGTCATCTCCGATCGCAAGTACGGCAGCAAGCTGCGGCAGAGCAAAGTCACATTCAAAGCATGCTATCTCAACGACACTCGGTGGATTTCAGGCGCAGATTTGAAAGCATCCGCACCGTTGATCTACGTGCATAATGAAAAGTGGAGGTTAGCTCAGGAAGCTTCACGACCCGCCCCTCCCACCCGGAATGTATTCCCTCCCTCAGACAGACAGCTTCGCCCTCGCAGGTAAGCTCCGTTCTTCAAGGAGGGGGGGCTGTGGCATACTGCGTAGCCACACGGGCCCTGCAGGGCCCGTCCCGGACATTCAGCATAAAAGCCTAAGACTTAGGGCTTACAGGCCCCGTTCGTTTCAGCCTGAAAGCTGAAAAACGAGGGCCTGCAGGCCCTACCCCGTTTCAGCCTATTTCTGGGTCTTTTCAGACCCAGAGTTTTCAGCCTGAAACGGAGGGCCATTTTCAGGCCCTCATTGTTTCGACCTGCCCCTAAGACTCAGGCACGTAAACAGGGATGCGGAACAGGCCAGAAATAGCCTGTTCCTCACGAGTTTGAGCAGGAGCTGCAGCTGCAGCCCCTGCCTCTCTTCGGCAGGCTCAGGAGGCACACCCGGTAGTACATAGGAAGTTCCCATGCACTTCACGGGTAGGTAGTTCAGTAGGCACGAGGTAGTCTTCAGGAATTTGGCCGCAGCACTCAGGAGGAGCGCTGCAGTAGTCTTCAGCGCTAGGTGGTGTTTAGCGCTAGCTGTAGTCTTCGGCGCTGGGCGCCATAGCTGTAGCTGTAGTCTTCAGCGCTGGGCGCTGG